GTCGTGAAGGCAAGATGAGGGGTTTTCGCCGGGGTGGAGTTGGAGGTAACCTCGCTTTCGGCCATTGAAGAGAGGAGAGAGAGCCGAAGGGAGAGGGGGAGGGAGTGCCGCCGCTGGGACTGCCGACGTCGAAGGAGGGACGGCGGCGCGGCGCTGAGTCTGCCGCGGGAGAGAGGGAGAGCCGAGAGGTAGGGTTAGGGGTTTTTTTTTGTTTAATTAGGCTCTGATACCATGAAGAATTATGATTTTCATTGATCAAAAGAGTTGTGATTACATGTATATATATAAGAGGAGTCTCAATCCTAAACAAGGTAGGAGAGACACAAGTAAGGAAACCTATACAAATTAGGTAAGGGAATAATACAATATATTAAATATATACAATATATTTAACAATAAAGCATCATAATATGCAGCACAAATGAATGGGGATTTTGAGGTGCCTCATTAAGTTGTCTCACTTCTTTTGTTTAGAAATATAGCTTTGATAACTTTGGGCTTATCCTCCAATATCTGTAGAATGAAGAATGCAGTTAAAAAGATGTCCAATTTAATTTACACTCCAAGAAAATTCATAGAAATTAGGGGTTTAACATAACAAAAGAAGACGAAGAAGAAACTAAAATCAGAGTGCTCAAGTTCCAACATAGCCCGTACTTTAATTTCTGCCCAATGTTGTTTAAATATTATCTCTAAAATTTACCCTAAATTTTGAAGTTGTGAGGCTAATGTTTTAATCTTTTTTCCGTGTAGTTATACATCAAGAATTGAATCATAAAAAGTTAAGACAAAAATATAGAAAAATAGAGGCCTACATTCCCAAAGAGCCGCAATGGCAGAGGCTATCCGCAGTCTGACATCTCAATCTTCTTGGTCTTGAAAATCCTCCTGCAATACCAATTGAAGAGCAAAACTGCAGTGCTAAGATTGCACCTAAAATTAAAATTAAAATATTTCATCAGAGGTTGCTAGAAATGAATTTGAAAATGTTGTGCATAGTGAAATTCCAACACTTCCAAGGAGATATTCCCAACAAAGATAAACAGCAAACAGAAACAAGCACAAATCACTATTGAAAGAAGTGTTGTAGCTTTAGAACATGCAGGATGCTACAACACCTTTTCCAACAGTCACACACACAATCAGAAATAAACACGTAAAAACACAGAGATTTGTTTACGCAGTTCGGAGCTGTATCTCCTACGTCTGCGAGGCCCACATCCGTGTAATAGCCTTTCCACTAGATTAACGTAAGAATTACACTATCAATCTTCAATAGATTCTTCTAATGAATTTGACTTGTCTACTTACGAGATCTGACAGCAAACTCGGTTTGTGTCACCACTAGGCCTATTACACCTTCTTCTTGCTCTGCACGAAGGATTTGTTACTGACCCTTGCTCAGCTAACCAGATTGCAACTGTTGAACAATCTCTAGAGAAGACCCATGATTGATCTCCTCATGCAAATCTCTCACAGTTTTGTTTTGATCAGAACAGCTATGGTCTCACGCTCTCTCGTTTGATATTATGAGTATTATTCTGCGTCCCACTCTTTTCTCCACGGTTGTCTCTCTTTATAGGATGTCCATAACGCTAGTGGAGATGGTATGGAACTCTTCAGGTGATAAGCTTGAATACCAAACACTCCTAGCGCGCCACAACTTCTTCCGTAGATTGCACCACCTATTTAGCACGTGGCCAGGAGATAGTCAACACATAGTCAACTTGAAACAGTTCCTCTTGATGCTGGACACCTCACGAACCCTTCTTGACATACAAGTCTCTACATATGTAGAGTCCAAGCCGTACATAAACTCTATCTCATGAGTGACAGGATGCTACAGCTCTTGACTTAACATAGACATGCTAACACCTCTACAGAAGGGGTTTTGTCAAAAAATAATGCCAACATAAAACAATATCAACATTAACTAGTTGGAGCTAACAATCTCCCCCTTTGGCAATTTTTTGACAAAAACCACTATTCAGCCGTTTTTGAACCTCTTCTCCCCCTTTTTTGCATAAAAAATGCCAAAGATATTTTATTGAAAAGCACCAAGCTTGGGGGCAAAAAGAGAAGAGTAATATTCAATACGGTCAAGAATAGGTACATTAAGAAAACAGGAAAGAGAACCCTAAAGAGCTGTACCTACATCAGTCACCCCAGAAAGAGCCAAGTACCCATGAGAGAGGGTAGGCTCTTGTGTTCTCGTTGCTTCATAATGCATGCAGGTAAAATCAGAATCAAAATAAGTCATAACCAGAGCTTCATAGAGAATAAAACCATCTCTCCATAGGTCACAGATATGTTTAATCAAAAACCATGCAATGTCTTCAGCATCATAAAAACAGGGCAGAACAACCCTCCCACAAAAAAAGTGTTTTAGAGCAACAATTTCGCCAGTGAGGCAATGTTTACTCCTCAAAGCTGGCACCTTTTGATGACTCCTGAGTGTCTTCTTCTGATTCTGCAGATGAAAACTCCTCACTATTTTCTTCACCCTGATGCTTAGTTGCAACTCTCCTCTTTGTCAGACTCTCCCCTGGCTCTTTTCCCCTTTTGCTTTTCTCAGGGTTTGGGCAATCTAAATGAGCATGTTCCTCCTTTCTGTAGACCTTTGAGCAATTTCATTGTGATAATCTGCAAAATTAGAAAGATAAAAACATTCAATCAGCAGCTAGGCTACTTACCTAAGCCGGCGTGCTCTCTCTCCAGGTTTGGCGATGTGCTGATTGGAATTGGATGGCGATCGTCGACGGTGCATGGCTTCGCCCTTGTATGATCGAAGACGGTGAAGCGGCTGCGAAAAGAGAAGAAAGAACAGGTGGATCTGACGGAAAACTATGTTCACACGCTCCCTCTCGATCCGGAAATACCCAGCGGCTTAGCTTCTCCCATACTCTTTCTCTTATCACATGAGTATGCAGGAAGCTTCACCAGATATTTTTATCCAATGTGCGGTCCAAATTTAGCGGCTAATGTAGCTTATCAAATGGGCGGGAACACTGTTCCTAAAACCCTCTTACCATTGTATATAAAAAGATTGAAGGAACAAAATTTGGGCTATATAATAAAAAAGATTACCCTGCCCCCCCTGAATAAATGGGCTTGGTTCGGTAGGACTTCTCGGCCCACCGCCAAGCCTCCACTAATATAAATAATATTATATTAAAAATATTGGGCCCCATAAATCTTGGTCCTGGTTCGGTCGGGCAGCCTGTCCCATATGGGCTAGCCTTGGGTGCAAGTCCTTCAACCCCTGATGGCAGGATCTAAGAGGTAGAGTCCCTAGGTCAACTTAGTAAAATTTTATTTTACAAACTCTTTCAGAATTTTGTAAAAATATGTGTGAGTGTTAGCGTTAACCGGTAGTGATAGACACAATTTTCCTGTATAGCTGCATAAGATTGGATGTATGAAGTCATAATATTTAGCAGAAAAATTTGCACTAAATAAGACTAAAACATAAGTCATTTCCCAATGTAGAACTTAAACTTTTTTATTTCTTAAATAAGACTTAATAATGTCCAGGGGAAGAAATAATGTCCAGTAATAGAGGACATTTACTTAAATAATGACTAATTAATAATGACCAATGGTCCTATATTAGGAAATAAAAACACATGATATATATTTAGGAAGTCATTATGTTTTAGTCTTATTTAGATAAATTACTCTATTTAGAATGTATCGCGATACGACATGTTTCACACGAAAAATGCATCTATTCAAATTTGATCTATTAATATATAGGTCCATTGATATGTTTCAAAAAAGGGAATTGTTACAGACCAAACGAAAGAACTCAACCCAAAAGACTAGTCTGATAGGTGAGGGAACCCATTTGGCCTATAAATTCCACATCAATTGCACATACAACCAATGTGGGACAAGTTCCATACCTTGCAATGGTTTCAGTCCATAACATTCGCCCCTCCTTAAGGACCAACGTCCTCGATGGCCATGGACACGTTGGTCACGGCTGGCTCTCTCCAGGCCACCACTCCGAGGTTGGCTCTGATACCATTGTTAAAGACCAAACGGAAGAACTCAACCCAAAAGACTAATCTGATAAGTGAGGGAACCCATTTGGCCTATAGACCCCACATCAATTGCCCATACAACCGATGTAGAACAAGTCCCATACCTTGCAATGGTTTAAGTTCATAACAGGAATCGTGTGCACCCATTCTTGTACTTTTGGGATACCACTGCACGTAATACATTTAATAAGAAAGCATATAATAAGTGATTTGTGCGTTTCTGTTTAAATCATCAAGCTTCACATTTGTATATTGTTATTTCTAACGCTGCAGCACGACGTTACCTAAATAGTACTAAAACATACACCCTCCGTCATTGAGTATTTGTCCTATAATTTTGACGGTCAAAATTAGCAATCATTGACCTTAAATTAAATAAAAATAATATTAGATATTGATACAAAAATTATTTTATTAGATTTATTATATAAAATATTTTCAAAATATTATTTTATATAATTAATATACAATATATATTTTGTTTAATTATATGTCAAATGTTGAAAACAATTGACCTGAAAAAATCAAAAGTGGACAAATACTCTGGAACCAATGCCTGCCCAGAAAAATGAAAAAAAATAAAATTGGCCCGGTCTAATATTTACATTTTGGGCTCTATTTTATTTTTGGAATACTTATGCTTTAAAATTAATGACGAATTTAAAAAAATGAAGCCCGAAAATTTTATGGGACTTGCGTGCTTTGCAACTTTTCACACCCTCCAAGCCACCCATATCTGGAACGGAGGTAGTATGTCATTCCCCAATGTAGTAGTTAAAATTTTTTATTTCCTGAATAGTACTTGAATAATGTTTAGTTGCAGGAACAATATCTAGTGATGGTGGACATTTAGTTTGAACGATGTCCAGTGATGGTGGACATTTACTTGAATAATGACCAATAGACAATGACCAGTGGTACTACATTAGAAAATAAAAACATACCCTTTAAATTCTCCTTGGAAAAATAGCAAGGAGAAAAATAAAAACATACTCCTTTAAATTTTCCTTGAAAAAATAAAAACATACTCCTTGAAAAACAAAAACATACTCCTTTAAATTCTCATACCAATGGAGTATTATACTACATTGAGAAAATTTACTACACCCTCCTTACTGCAAAAAACTTCTCATTTTGACTTTAAAAAGATTTAAGGGAAGTGTATTTTGGTATTGACTTTCCAAAAATGTCATTTGATGTGATTAATAAAGTAGAATGTGAATATGTGATCGATATGTAAATTAATAGAGAAAAAGTGTGATGTGATAGGTATGTTAAGAATTATTAGGGGTAAAAATAACTTTTTAATAGAAAAAGAAAAAAGTTTTTTGGGACGGATGAAAAAAAGAAAAGAGAAGACTTTTGTAGGACGGATTGGAATATATTTTATTACTATTTATGTAAATTTTCTTTTAAAAAATAGCAAGCCATGTGTCATCATGGTGTGCATGCCCCATCGAGAAGAGTGTTGCCAAGGTTGGAGCATGTGTTACGTGGGTTGACATGGCCAATTTTGGGTGAACTCGTCCCATTATTGTTTGTTTAAGGGCACCATCACATAGCGTTAACAAATTTGCTTGTCGGACATGCATATTGCTCTACACCCACACCACACATGAGCTGATCTATTCTCCCATTGCATTCTTCAATTCTACCAATTAAGTACACGAAGCGACCTCTGGCCTCTACAATACACGCCACCTTTCATGCACTTTTTTTATCTGAATCACTCCCAATTAACTTCAACACGCCTCAAGCCATTCATTATATTCATTCATTATACTCCCCAATTAGTTCTCTCATGCATATCTGCGTCTAACAATAATATTCTCATTGCGAGTA